GTAGCTTGCTGTTCACCGCCTATTATTACGGGGATTAATTTATTACAGATTTAAACGTTTCCACTCCATCTTTCTGTCGTGCGACTCAAAGCAGCTGACCAACTAAATAACATTAACGACATCATTTAAAGGTAAAGGTAAAGGTTCCCTTGCTCGAAAGCCAGTCGAATCCGACTCTAGGGTTGCGGTGCTCATCTCCATTTCAAAGCCGAAGAGCCAGCACTGTCCGAAGACGTTTCCGTGGTCATGTGGCCGGCATGACTAAACACCAAGGCGCACGGAACGCTGTTCCCTTCCCACCGAAGTGGTACCTATTTATGTACTTGCAATTTCTTGCATTCGAACTGCTAGGTTGGCAGGAGCTGGAACTAGAGACAGGAGCTCACCCCGTCTTGCGGCACACTCGGGTCTCGAACTGCTGAACTACTGACCTTCCACAGCCTGCAGTTCAGCTGACCAGCTAAATAACACTAAAAACATCATTTAGGCATCTCCAACCTTCCATGGCGTTCACACAAAACCTTATACCAGGGATAAAACTTTATTGGTCTTAAAAAGTTCCACTGGACCCCAATGTTGTTCTGTCAGCCATAAAGTTAAGCTTTGTGCCTCCGTGGGTCTCATAGATGACAGCTTGTAAGATCAGGTCATAAGAGAAATCTTCTTCTCGCCCCTCTGTCTTTTTAACATTTATAACATTCCAGCCTAAGGAACAGTCCTGGGGAGATCGAAAGCTTGCAGGATGTGTTGTGTCAGTTTGGATCATCCTAATAGAAGGGGCTACCTCGACTTTATTCTTGGTTTCAGACACAGCAAGGCCAATTGATCATGCGGGTTCTCACCAGTCCAGTCCATGGAAGTTTTGTTGTTGTTCAGTCGCACAGTCGAGTTCGACTCTTCGCGACCCCCTGGACCAGATCCCGCCAGGCCTTCCTGTCTTCCGCCGTCCTCTGAAGTTGGCTCAACTTCATGTTCGTTGCATCGATGACACTGTCTAACCATCTCATCCTTTGCCGTCCCCGTCTTCTTTGACCTTCAATCTTTCCCAGCATCAGGGTCTTCTCTAGGGAGTGCTCCCTTCTCATTGGGTGGCCAAAGTCTTTGAGCTTCAGCTTCATTATCTGGCCTTCCAGGGAACAGTCCGGGTTGATTTCTTTTAGGATGGACTGATTTGATCTCCTTGCAGTCCAAGGGACTCTCAAGAGTCTTTTCCAGCACCATAGTTCAAAAGAATCTATTCTTCAGCGTTCGGCCTTCCTTATAATCCAACTCTCGCAGCTATACATGACGACCGGGAATACCATTGCTTTGACCTTCCCCTGCATAAATTGCCAGCTGGAACAGCCCTGCTGAGGACGGGCTGTGTCACTCTACACACTGTTAGATGGCTTAGTGTCCTTGAAGTGTCAGTTGTCTCAGAATGTGTGACTTTAAGGTCACTTAAACTAATTTGTTCAAGCTGGCATGTGAGAGGCATGGCCTTCCCTGGGGTGGCACCTTGACTTTGGAACTCTCTCCCACGGCACCAGTTGGCTCCTCCCCATTTTAAGACCCAAATTTCCAGTGTTTTTATTCATATAGCCTTTGGGTTGATTTGTGGTATGTTTGAGAGTCTTTTTTCCTCTGTTCTATGTTGTTATTCGTTTAGGATTGTATTTGTTTTTACTGCTGCCTTTTTAAATTGCTACTTATTTATTGGATCGTTTTAAATGTTGATTTGATGTGCAAAACGGACTGAAAGGTGGGGCATCAATATTCTGAAGTGCCCGTTGCGTGCCAACTCTATGCCTGTGGCCAAAGGCACTCAGATCTTGGCTGCCACCTCATATCCTGGCACTGAAAACAGAAGGCCTGCCTGGCCCCAGTTCATCCCCAGCAGGACAGTCATGACCCAGGATGGTGTGCTAGTCATAAGCCTTTTTGTTATATACGGAGATTGAGGCAGCATTTCCAAAACAGTGATTTCTTTATTCGGCTCAGAACACAGCAACAACACTCAAGAAAGATGCAACTTTATACATTTTGAACCAGGGAAAACCACATCCCCTAGCACAGTAATGACGAATTACAATTGAGAGCTTAGGACCAATGGGATTCGTTCCCGCCGAAGGTCAGAGTCTTTCCAGATTGGTCTGTTACGCAACAGCGACCAATCCGACTGCAAGGTTTAGAATACCTGAAAGTCAATGGAGCTTGTACCTGAAGCTCCGGTGTAGGTTACATAGCATAACACATACGCAAATACATTTAAAAAATTGTATTCCCCCCCCCCCCACAAAATCCT